TATACATGTTAAAAGGTACAACTTCCTTTTGTCTCCATGAGTGTATCTTTCAGAGTTATTGTCTGAATCCTGCTATACATGTTAAAAGGTACAACTTCCTTTTGTCTCCATGAGTGTATCTTTCAGAGTTATTGTCTGAATCCTGCTATACATGTTAAAAGGTATAACTTCCTTTTGTCTCCATGAGTGTATCTTTCAGAGTTATTGTCTGAATCCTGATATACATGTTAAAAGGTACAATTTCCTTTTGTCTCCATGAGTGTATCTTTCAGAGTTATTGTCTGAATCCTGATATACATGTTAAAAGGTACAACTTCCTTTTGTCTCCATGAGTGTATCTTTCAGAGTTATTGTCTAAATCCTGATATACATGTTAAAAGGTACAACTTCCTTTTGTCTCCATGAGTGTATCTTTCAGAGTTATTGTCTGAATCCTGCTATACATGTTAAAAGGTATAACTTCCTTTTGTCTCCATGAGTGTATCTTTCAGAGTTATTGTATGAATCCTGATATACATGTTAAAAGGTACAACTTCCTTTTGTCTCCATGAGTGTATCATTCAGAGTTATTGTCTGAATCCTGATATACATGTTAAAAGGTATAACTTCCTTTTGTCTCCATGAGTGTATCTTTCAGAGTTATTGTCTGAATCCTGATATACATGTTAAAAGGTACAATTTCCTTTTGTCTCCATGAGTGTATCTTTCAGAGTTATTGTCTGAATCCTGATATACATGTTGAAAGGTACAACTTCCTTTTGTCTCCATGAGTGTATCTTTCAGAGTTATTGTCTGAATCCTGCTATACATGTTAAAAGGTACAACTTCCTTTTGTCTCCATGAGTGTATCTTTCAGAGTTATTGTCTGAATCCTGCTATACATGTTAAAAGGTACAACTTCCTTAAGTTTTGTCTATGAGTGTATCTTTCAGAGTTATTGTCTGAATCCTGCTATACATGCTAAAAGGTACAACTTCCTTTTGTCTCCATGAGTGTATCTTTCAGAGCTATTGTCTGAATCCTGATATACATGTTAAAAGGTACAACTTCCTTTTGTCTCCATGAGTGTATCTTTCAGAGTTATTGTCTGAATCCTGCTATACATGTTAAAAGGTACAACTTCCTTAAGTTTTGTCTATGAGTGTATCTTTCAGAGTTATTGTCTGAATCCTGCTATACATGCTAAAAGGTACAACTTCCTTTTGTCTCCATGAGTGTATCTTTCAGAGCTATTGTCTGAATCCTGATATACATGTTAAAAGGTACAATTTCCTTTTGTCTCCATGAGTGTATCTTTCAGAGTTATTGTCTGAATCCTGATATACATGTTAAAAGGTACAACTTCCTTTTGTCTCCATGAGTGTATCTTTCAGAGTTATTGTCTGAATCCTGCTATACATGTTAAAAGGTACAACTTCCTTTTGTCTCCATGAGTGTATCTTTCAGAGTTATTGTCTGAATCCTGCTATACATGTTAAAAGGTACAACTTCCTTAAGTTTTGTCTATGAGTGTATCTTTCAGAGTTATTGTCTGAATCCTGCTATACATGCTAAAAGGTACAACTTCCTTTTGTCTCCATGAGTGTATCTTTCAGAGCTATTGTCTGAATCCTGATATACATGTTAAAAGGTACAACTTCCTTTTGTCTCCATGAGTGTATCTTTCAGAGTTATTGTCTGAATCCTGCTATACATGTTAAAAGGTACAACTTCCTTAAGTTTTGTCTATGAGTGTATCTTTCAGAGTTATTGTCTGAATCCTGCTATACATGTTAAAAGGTACAACTTCCTTTTGTCTCCATGAGTGTATCTTTCAGAGTTATTGTCTGAATCCTGCTATACATGTTAAAAGGTACAACTTCCTTAAGTTTTGTCTATGAGTGTATCTTTCAGAGTTATTGTCTGAATCCTGCTATACATGCTAAAAGGTACAACTTCCTTTTGTCTCCATGAGTGTATCTTTCTGAGTTATTGTCTGAATCCTGCTATACATGTTAAAAGGTACAACTTCCTTAAGTTTTGTCTATGAGTGTATCTTTCAGAGTTATTGTCTGAATCCTGCTATACATGCTAAAAGGTACAACTTCCTTTTGTCTCCATGAGTGTATCTTTCAGAGTTATTGTCTGAATCCTGCTATACATGTTAAAAGGTACAACTTCCTTTTTTCTCCATGAGTGTATCTTTCAGAGTTATTGTCTGAATCCTGCTATACATGTTAAAAGGTACAACTTCCTTTTGTCTCCATGAGTGTATCTTTCAGAGTTATTGTCTGAATCCTGCTATACATGTTAAAAGGTACAACTTCCTTTTGTCTCCATGAGTGTATCTTTCAGAGTTATTGTCTGAATCCTGCTATACATGTTAAAAGGTATAACTTCCTTTTGTCTCCATGAGTGTATCTTTCAGAGTTATTGTCTGAATCCTGATATACATGTTAAAAGGTACAATTTCCTTTTGTCTCCATGAGTGTATCTTTCAGAGTTATTGTCTGAATCCTGATATACATGTTAAAAGGTACAACTTCCTTTTGTCTCCATGAGTGTATCTTTCAGAGTTATTGTCTAAATCCTGATATACATGTTAAAAGGTACAACTTCCTTTTGTCTCCATGAGTGTATCTTTCAGAGTTATTGTCTGAATCCTGCTATACATGTTAAAAGGTATAACTTCCTTTTGTCTCCATGAGTGTATCTTTCAGAGTTATTGTATGAATCCTGATATACATGTTAAAAGGTACAACTTCCTTTTGTCTCCATGAGTGTATCATTCAGAGTTATTGTCTGAATCCTGATATACATGTTAAAAGGTATAACTTCCTTTTGTCTCCATGAGTGTATCTTTCAGAGTTATTGTCTGAATCCTGATATACATGTTAAAAGGTACAATTTCCTTTTGTCTCCATGAGTGTATCTTTCAGAGTTATTGTCTGAATCCTGATATACATGTTGAAAGGTACAACTTCCTTTTGTCTCCATGAGTGTATCTTTCAGAGTTATTGTCTGAATCCTGCTATACATGTTAAAAGGTACAACTTCCTTAAGTTTTGTCTATGAGTGTATCTTTCAGAGTTATTGTCTGAATCCTGCTATACATGTTAAAAGGTACAACTTCCTTAAGTTTTGTCCATGAGTGTATCTTTCAGAGGTATTGTCTGAATCCTGCTATACATGATAAAAGGTACAACTTCCTTTTGTCTTCATGAGTGTAGAACGGGGAGAAAGCTAAATAAGGAAGTGCTACTGGTGTCAGTCTAGGTGGCACCACGGCAGGATGGAATAAACAGGTGGACAGAACAAGAAGATACTGGAGTACAGACAGCACGAGGAAGTGACTGCAGGGATTCAAGGAGGAAAACGACTGTCTAGTGACAGGAGTTTGACAACAAGAAGTCCTGAAAGAAGGCGCTGGGGTGTCCCTGAGCAGACATTTCAGTAGATAGCAGCTGTTGACCTGATTGTGGAGGTACCCTGAAATTTACTAGGCCATGTTGGCGACTTAATTGTACGGAGCGGATTACTCTGTGGGAAATGGACAAGAGAACGAGTGTGTTGGTTTTCAGCAGCAGCAGTGAATCAGCCTACAAGTCGGTGTCGTTCAAGAAGGACATGAATTGTGTGTGGGGATCAGGACACTCCACAAGAGGAACATCCAAGCTGCAAGTCTAAAATGTAATTGTAAAATATATAGATTATATAAAAATATATTTAATTTCAAAAAGAATCTTACGTGTCTAAAATAGTTTCTAATTTTCATAACAGATGGCGCACTAGTGCATCATAGAGGCTTTTGGCATTCCCTGTGGTCACTTATGAATGTAGAGTGCTGGACTCTCAGAAAAGAAGAAAGAATCGAAGCTTTTGAAATGTGGACATGGAGAAAGTTAGTTAGAATGCCATGAACAAATATTTCAATCTTCTTTTTTCTTATCTCCACTCAAGCTTGTAAAGCTTGAGACTTTTGATAGTGTCTGCCGGGGAAGAGTAGAGCTCATCAATGGATGAGTCAATCCCTCATTATTGGGTGAAGTAGAATGTGTCTGCCTTTGTCATTAAGACTGGGAGCACTACTCAGTGGCAGGCCGACTTAGCTCCAAAAGAAATGGCCGCCTCTGACATGAGGAACAGACGCCATGTGCAGTCGCTCCTAACATGGAGTATCAGCCGGGCCAGCTGAGCCCAGGTTTTTTAGTGAGCTTGTTACTGCTCCCCCTCCTCCTTTTTCATCCGGGCTTGGGACCGGGAAAGGCGGAGTTTATTTCAATCTTAAATTGAATTAATCCCTTTAGATCCCTAGAATTCCAAATATGTAAATGAAGACTGACATACTTCGGGACATATAATGAGAGAGCAAATGGTTTATAAAGGGTACTTGGAGAAATTGAAGGAAGAGAGGAAAACCTGCAATGAGCTGGCTAGAAGAGGTCAAGAAAACTACTGGAAGGTCACTAGATGAGAGTGATGGTCACTGACAGATCATATTGTGGAGAATATTTGTCTCCATATAGTTGAACATGATGAACAATAACGTGTAAATATGGTAATCTGGGGCAGTATGTAATACCCTCTCTCTCAATGGATATTTTTTAAACTATCTTTTCTACTAGCGCTAAAGAGTTTGTTTTTAATTTTCAAAAGAAAACTTCATTAATATATACAGTTATCAGCGTCATGCGTTCTTAATTCTGTCACCGTTTGCTTTTGGTTCAGTGGTAGAATGCTCGCCTGCCACGCGGGCGCCCTGAGTTCGATTCCCGGCCGATGCATTTTTTTTTTTTTTTTTTACAATTTTTAAAACTCATTTATATATTATAGTGGCGTGCGCCCCGGGTTCGATTCCCGGCCGATGCATTTTTTTTTACAATTTTTAAAACTCATTTATATATTATACAAGAATGACATCCACGGCGCCAATTTATAATTGTAACGAATAGTATTTTAATAAAAGCATTTAATCGGGTAAACCCCGGGCGTTGCCCGGGTCATTCGGCTAGTATATAATATGCCCAACGTGGGGCTCGAACCCACAACTCTGAGATTAAGCACCTCATGTTCTACCAACTAGCCCGGCTAGCCCAGTCTTTAGAGCATGAGACTCTTAATCTCAAGATTGACAGTTTGAGCCCCACATTGGCCTTTATCATATATATTATACGGTGAAACATGTCCATAGCACCCCCTCTTGGGACTCACCAAAATAGGATGCTATAGAGAGGGGGTGCTATAGACAGGTTTAACTGTACACCTATCCCCCGATTTACACGGTACTTGTTTTACACGTTTTCGCTTTTACACGGTTTTCCAAATAATTTCTTTTTTTTATCGCACTATACTAAAATGCGATATTCTACTCTATACTACCTATGTTGAAAAGAATATTGGGAGGCTCTGATTCATGAAGGGGGCGAACACCTATTCAGATTTGACAGTTTAATATACACCTATCCCTCGATTTACACGTTTTTCTCAGGAACGTATCTACCGTGTAAATTGGGGGATAGGTGTATATATATATATTTTTATTATTCCTAGTACACATGATACAAGCCATGATAATCATCACAATATCTTCTTTCTTATCTCCACTCAATAATATTAGGATATAAAGCCTGTAGAGCTTGTTGATGGTGTCTGCTGGGGATGCTGAGTAGAGCTCATCAATGGAAATTTGACATCCATAATGACTGGGTGAAGTAAAATGCATCTGCTTTTGTGATTAAGACTAGGAGCATTACTCAGTGGCAGGCCACTGACTTAGGAAATGGCCAAGATTAAGATAATCATGGTGGGTAGAAGTTGACGTCTGTTTTTACTGTAAGTGCACCACATGTCTAGACATGTGAAAATCAGTTTGACTTTTGCATTTACAAGTCTGCCAGAGCCCCATTTAGCTACTTGCACTCGCTGGTGATGTTGGTCTTTTTCAAGCATCAGGGGTTCTATTGGAACTTTTTTTTTTTAATTAAAAAAGATGCCCAATGTGGGATTTGAGCCTTGATCATAGCGATGGAAGACCAACAGAACACTCATCCACCGACTCCCTATAATAACTTGATAATGAAACTCCGCCTTTGCCGGTCCCAAGCCCGGATGAAAAAGGAGGAGGGGGAGCAGTAACAAGCTCACTAAAAAACCTGGGCTCAGCTGGCCCTGCTGATAGTACCCTGTAAGGTCTCCTAATCCAGGGATACAGGATGGGCAGCATCTCCATGTTAAGAGCAGCTGCACATGGCGTTTGTTCCTCATGTCAGAGGCAGCCATTTCTTTTGGAGCTAAGTCGGCGTGTCACTGAGTAGTGCTCCCAGTCTTAATGACAAAGGCAGACGCATTCTACTTCACACAGTCATGATGGTTGTCAAACAAGCTTGATACACTAATATGATTGAGTGGAGATAAGAAAGAAGAAAGCTTGATATTGATGGGGTACAATTTTCTGGATTATAGATTAGAAAAAAAAAAAAGGTAACAAAATCCAAATTGATAAGGCACAATTTGGATTATAGATTATAAAATAAGGTAATAATTTGGATTTGGTCTTATTACCTTGTTTTAAAATCCAAATTGAAACTTTGATAGAAACACCACTTTTGTCTACAGATGATAATGATATAGTTACCAAGAAAACTTGACCATATCTAAATGAGATACTCATTTCTGTGGACAATGAAACCTATGTGTTATTGTATTATTTGGAGGTAGGCCTACTTGCTAGGCCTAATCATGGTATACAAATATTCCTTTTTTAAAACAACTTCTTAAACTAACCTAATTTATGATGTATTAGAACTCTGCCTTTGCCGGTCCCAAGCCCGGATGAAAAAGGAGGAGAGGGAGCAGTAACAAGCTCGCTAAAAAACCTGGGTTCAGCTGGCCCGGCTGATAGTACCCTGTAAGGGCTCTTAATCCAGGGATACAGGATGAGCAGCGTTTTTACTCCATGTTAGGAGCAGCTGCACATGGCGTTTGTTCCTCATGTCAGAGGCGGCCATTTCTTTTGGAGCTAAGTTGGCCTGTCACTGAGTAGTGCTCCCAGTCTTAATGACAAAGGCAGACGCATTCTACTTCACCCAGTCATAATAGTTGTCAAACAGACACCATCAAGGGTCACAACATGATACCCTAATATGATTGAGTGGAGATAAGAAAGAAGAAGAAGAAGATGATGTATTAACGCGGTATCTGTTATGAAAATTCGGAACTATTATAGATGCGTATTTTATATATTTTTTGCTTATCCCTAGTACACGTGGTACAGGCCATGATAATCATGGTGGGTAGACGTTGGCAACTGCTTTTTACTGTAAGTGCACCACATGTCTACACATGTGAAAAGCAGTTCGACTTTGCACTTACAAATGTGCCAGAGCCCCGTTTGGTTACTTTCACTTGCTGGTGGGGTTGGAATTTTGCAAGAATCGGGGGCCATTGGAGCATTTATTTTGTGTATGATTCTTTTAACCTAATTTAACCTATCAGAATGTAATCTAAGCTGACCTGACTTATTGTATTGTTATACTCTGCAACATCTTGACACCAGTGATCTGCAGAAATGAATATCTTATTCCAAAAATTTATTTTACTTATTTTAAAGATTGTTATAATTAAATTATGTTATTTTAATATTGGTCTGTGAAGAATAAAATTATGTAAAAAAAACTTATATTGAATAAAACAAATGGTTTGATAATTGTGACAGGTGACCCAAGATAACATTAATAAATTTGATTATTTTAATGAATCCAATTGACAAAATATTCATTTTTTATGATTTTTATATATATATATTTTTTAAATATATGGGTAGGAGAGTAATGATCGTATTATACTTTAAGATAAATGTTAACGTATTCGAAGTGTGAGCAAAAGAAGACAAAGCTATTTCTACACAAGAACCTGTAGAGCTTATTACACGGTGACATTTCCTAAAATTTGAAAAAATAATTATAATCCTAACTCAAATAGTGTATTTTGGATGTGTTTTTTTTTTTTTCTAATTAAATTACACTTTTATTTTATTATTAATTAAATGTCTTATTGCTGCAAAATTACTTTTGTCAATTATTTGCGAAAATTACATGTATTTAAAACGAGATTCTGGAGTTAAAACATTGTAATTTATTTGATATTCAGGATTCTTACCTTTGACAGAAAACCAAAATAACTTGCATCTTATTTTATGTAAATATCGAACTTAAGAACTCAAAAGTAGGCCGCCCAACCGCAAACAACCCACCAGGGCCGCCATTTATAAACAAAACAAATGACCAAAATCAATCAAGAAAATACTCTCTGACTTAACTTTTTTTTTTTTTTTATGTTGCTAAATTTTATAATAAGCTTTTTGAAGTTTTCAGATAGAAATTATGATTTTTATTTAATTATTAATTTCGACTTCGGTTTTTGATTCCAAGAAATGTTTGCCCAAAGAATGTTGCCTTTACAATGTTAGTTATTTTAATTATTTTATTTCATGTACACGCACAGCTTCTTTTTAAAAATGGCAGAAATCCCTGAATAATTACATGCAAATTGTTTGATATACTTATCACTAGTGGCCGTTGTGTTTGCGTATGGGGATATTATAGTATTATTATTATTATTTATATTTTAGTAGTAGTATATACCCTTTTTTTTTCCTTTTATTTATCCCAAGTTTGTGCATATTACAGGCCATGATAATCATGATAACCATGATAATCATCACTTATTTTATTTTACTCGACCACATTTCTGCACACGTAGAAAGGAATTCGATTTTGTACTTATAAATGTTCCAGAGGCCTGTTTTGGTTATTTGCAGTCACTGGGCAATTGAATTATTTTTTAAGAAAAAAATTGCCAAAGCGGGAATCAATCTAGAGTCGCTACTGTCAAAAATAGACGATTTATTCAGCTCTTTCACTACACCCTACGTTATCAATATTTATAATGGGAAATCATTAGCATATAAGCAATATGATCATTTTATAACTCTAAGATATGCAAATGAGTATGTTATTGGGCTAAATTTAGGCTTTGAGTGGTCTATATGTTAACATATATCTTCAGCTACTATATATTAATTTTTCAATTACTTATCCAGTAGATGTTTGGTAAATAAAATTTAACAAAGTTCATCAATTTAGCGTGGCTTCTGTGGCGCGCACTCTCTCTCTCTCTATTTTTTTAAATTATTATTTTAAATGGTAAAACCTCTTTTGTAAATAAGCAATTCCCTTTCTACTGAAGAGCAAAGAGAGTTTAGAGCAATTTGTACACAGATTTATAAATCGCTACTCCCTACCAGCGAGTGCAAGTGACCAAACAGGCTTTGGCATATTTGTAAGTGCAAAGTCGAACTGCCTTTCACATGTGTAGACATGTGGTGCACTTACAGTAGAAGCAGTCGCCTACTTCTACCCACCATGATTATCATGGCCTGTACCATGTGTACTAGGGATAAACAAAAAATAAAATAAATCACTACTAATTCATAGAGTAAATAATAAGAGGTATATACACTGCGTGACATTGAAAATGGAACACCAAGAAATAGTGGCCAGAAAGTGATGAAACTTGGCAGACAGAGAGAGACAGGGACGAACAATAAATGATCTTTATTTCAAAATGATAGTCATAATACAGAGGGAGAACGGCTTCGGCTTAGTAGCAAGTAGGACCACCGCGGACGGCGATGCACGCAGCAACACGTCTAGGTAGAGAGTCAATCAGAGTACGGATGGCGTCCTGAGGGATGGCTCTCCATTCCCTCTCAACCATTTGCCACAGTTCGTCTTCTGAAGCCGGCTGTGGCAAGGCATGCAAACGGCGTTCAATGATGTCCCAGACGTGCTCGATTGGTGAGAGATCAGGAGAGTACGGTGGCCAGGGAAGCATCTGTACATCTTGCAGAGCTTGTTGGCTAATGCGAGCAGTGTGCGGTCGGGCGTTATCCTGCTGATAAAGGGCATTGGGTACCCCCTGAAGGTAGGGGAGTGTCACCGGTCGCAGCACATCATCAACGTATCGTTGGGCCGTCATAGTGCCCTGAATACGAAGTAAAGGTGACTTGAAATCATACGCGATTGCGCCCAAAACCATGATTCCACGTTGTCGCACGGTGGGGCGTTCCACAATTGCTGCCGGATTGAACCTTTC